AAAAAGTGGAAAAGTAATATTTATGTATTAGCCAACAAAGCAAAGGAAGCCATTGGAGAAGGGGTAGCAACAGGTATATTTGCAAACAGCAACAGAAAGATGCTTGTATATTGGTTGTAAATGATCTGTCCTAAGCTGCACATGTGTAAAAAAGCTATTCTTAACATTAAAAATCGTTTTGGTTGCTGTGGAATGTAAAACAAACCAGCAATAAAACTGGCCAAAGACTGGACAGAATGCAACAAAAGTTAAAAAGAGGAAATTCATAATGATTAGGAATCACAGATCTAAGAGAGAGTGGAAGTGTAAGTTAAATGTATAGTAGTAAATGAACGGCTAGCAGCATTAACAGAATTCATAAGGATTTATAAAAAATGTAAATTGAGAAAAATTAATTGTAATAACGATTCATTATGCCTGAGAAGAGGTAATTAACAAGGGGTTTTGTCCTATATTTACATAGCGGTGGAAGAGTCAATTCACATCTTGCTAGAACAGTGAAGTGCAGGTGATTCCAGCAGTGAGAGAGCTCTTGAAAACTCTGTCAAGACAAGCTGTTGTAAACACAGAGATCCCGTAACTTACATGCAGTAGTTTTAAGAATTGATTTAGAAGTTGCCTGGACTGCTGGGCTTAATTGTTGATATTTATTGGAATTCTGGCAAAGCTCCACTTGAGATACAAAGAGGCCATATGGGAAAAGAGAAAGTGGAACACCCCCAGTGATTACAGAGCTATTACCGTAATTTCTATCCTAAGCAAATTAATGAAATGGCTGACACATGAACTCAGCCAATAAATGGAAAAAAAATACGGATAGCAATATAATTCAAATTGCTCTTATTTTTTTAAAATGAGTTTGGAAGACTGAATAAAGGTAATTACATTCATGCAGGATACATGGATTTCTCAGTAGTGTTTGTCTTAATAGTCCACGATATCATTATTTAAATATAGAATGCTATAAAATCAATGCAACAAATTTAAACTGATTGAAATCTATGTGATGGATCTCAACATATAATTATTAATGAGAAGCTACTAAAAAAAAGAAAAATTAAAAAAACTTCTCACTTAAGCTATCCCAGATATGTACATTGACTTGGAGGAGATAATAACATAGCTGAAAATGATGCAGAGGAGGCAGAGGGGAAGAATGGTAGACAAGTCACAGAAAGATTTTAGGGAAATCACAGGAATTTGGCCAAATGCAAAGAAATTTGCCTAGAAATAAGGACATCATGTTGTTTTAGAGTACGAGGGATAACATATATGTAAGACCCACGAAAGTGCAAGACTTGGAAGTAAGAGAAATTCAGCGTAGCAATTAAAGAGCCTTAGGAAACAGAGGATTCTTTCAGACTTAAAATTAAGATTGAACATTATCCTAAGGATATAAATTAGTTGAATTAACATTTTGTTTGGCTTCTAAATCAATTACAGAGTTGTGTTGGGCAGTATATCAACTATAGTGAAATACTGGAATATGAATCATTAGAAGAAAATAAATTTCTTATTCTTAGTAACATTTCTCAAGTCCCACGATGAATATGCATTATTTTTTATTCCTTTCTCAAATATGAAATACTGATATTTTCATTCTTGCCAAGGTTAGTTAAGGACAACACATTAAAAACGCTGTATGAGCAATGGTCACTATTATTAGTTACGGCTTAAAACCTCCTCAATTAACAGGCAGAAAAGTAGGATTTCATACAACAACAACTCAAGCTTGAGCAACACTCAAGCTCAAAATATAATTTTGCCTCAAAAGCCTGTTTCTCAGTAGCTAAATAACAGGTACCTGTAATAACGTGTCAGGGACACAATGAAGCTTCCAACAGATGTACACTTTGAGTCTAATGTTAACTCAAAGCATTATCAGGAAGACAGGAATTAAACAGTAAACAAGACTAATGTGTGTGTGATGAAAAAGCAAAGCCTTCTAGGAGTCCAGCATGGTATAGTGCTGGCTGAGATGAGACAAATAACTCATACCACTCAGAAAGATGTTAGTGTACTCCCTAATAATGCACCAGCAAGTTTAAGACGGTGTGTTTTCTATATCATCCTTCGGAATATATGCAAGAAAGGTGCTTTTCAACTATGTGTGCCTCATCAAAAATCAAAATGCTGCCCCTGACTAGTTGACATTCAACTGATCTAGTTGATATGATGGTGTTCAGGCATAGGTTGGACTCAATCTCAGAAGCCTAATTGTCCTGTAATTCTTTGGTTGTCAACATGTATGCATAGACAGACCTCGAACTTGTATGTAGCTGTTTTGGAGCTGAACTTGAGATGGGAGAAAACAGTGAATCCTCTAGGAACTGGAGAAGGCTAATACATTGGTCATTAAGAAGATTAATAAAATGGTACATGCAACATTTAGGATGGTAATTTTCCTGTTATTCTCTAGTCACCTGAGGAACCTGAATCTAATAACTGAGAAACCTTCATGCAGAGTAAGCAGTTCCTCACATCCCCTCAGAGGCAATTGAAGAACTGGGAATCTAACTTTTAGAGTTTGCTTGCTTTAATGTAGAGGCAACCAGTGTATCCTTCCAAGTAATGCCTTCCCTTATATTCCCATTCCTTGCCTTCCCTGTCCTTTCGTACCCTTCTGTGCTTTGCCCTACCCTGAGTGATTTATTCACTGCATCAGTGCATTTATGACATCAGAATGGACAGCATTGCTTTTACTTCAAGAAAAAAAAGAAAGGAACTTTTTTAGGTTAACCCCATTTTTTGTATTTCCATTTTGAGACAAGACGTCACAGTAAATAATTTTGGCCCAAGTAAAACCATTTCCCCTTAAATATTGCATTGTGCTGGAATTAGCAATTTACTAGCAAATACTAGCTCTTTAGTACATAGCATGTTAAATTAGATACAAATTATTATTAAAAACTCACAGTTTTGTATTAGCTAAACCTTTATAAAATGATACAGTAACATGAGAGGTTCTGTTATTTTGTTCTGAAGGCAAAGTGTGTGTGGTGTTCAGAAATATTTTTGGTAATGAGATAAAATGCATCAGTTCTGCTGTCCTCATATCACTCATTCACTCATCATAGCAATTATTTAAATGATTCAGAATGAGTGTCTTCCTTTTTAATATGTAGTGATTTGTGTGTTAAGAGGGCACTGGAGTAATAAAAAGTGTGTATTTCACTGGTAGTTATGAAATGCTGTGTGTCTGAAATTAGTAAGTAATGGCGCATGTAAAATAAATAAGATATTAGTAGCACTTAAGCTGAATATTATAAATATACCACAAACCACGAAACTCAATAATGAATTGTGTATTTTATGTAGGCATATATGGACATATTATTGTCTAATACATAATAGTGTAATGGCATTTGCAAAATAAGTTTGCCAATGACACTTACAGACTTAAAGAGAGTCACATATCTTGTAGAAAATAATCCAATATACATGCTGGCAAACCAGTCTAGGGCAAAGGACTAGTGAGAACCCAAGTGGTTTGACTACTGTCTAACACCACTGGAAACTTCAAAGAAAGTTGCCTGAGAATGTGTATTTAAAATATTTTAACTGAAAACACTGATGAAGTTATTTAAAAAAGCAAGAAAACCCTACCATTTGTTTGAGTCTTACTGTGGCCTCAGTGCTGGTCAATGTCACAGCTCCCTGCTTGTGGTGCCTTTCAGGACATAAATTCCTTGGTGCTGTGCTACATTCCAAGGTTAATGTGCATCCAGAGCCACCCCGAGCTGACCAACCACTACAGACATGCTGAGGTGTGGAATCTCTTCTAATTCCTGATCCCTTTGGAGGGAGCACATATGTCCTAGCTCTTTATTTCACAGCATGCTTGGATATTCTCTGAAAAGGAGGCATCTATACCTAAAGTTGCCTTTTTTCTCCTTTTTCTTTGTTAAATGGAGAGCTGAGAAGGATTCATTTTGGCTAGTAGCTTGAGGATCAGTTCTCACCTGGGGCATGGAGACACCTGATGCTAGTGCCTCCTTGCTTGAACACTCACCCCAGCAGAGTGGTCTGACCACAAAGCAACTGTTTACAATTTAAGGAAACAAAACTTGTCATCCCTCCCTGCTGAACCTCGTACTGGATAGTTAAAGACTTTTCAGCCTGAAAAAAGCAGCATAAAAAGCAGCAGGGCTCATCAGAGCAGTCATTCATAGGGGAGAGGGAAGAAGAAGACTCCAGACACCAGCAGCCCCCTCTGGGCAGCAGCACCAACCTCGCCAAGTGGAAGCAGCTGATCCAATCTTTCCCCAGTGTCCTAATGAACCAGCATGCTCCAAATGCACAGAACAGATTGACTCCTTCAGGCAGTGTAGACTAATGTCTATCAGGCTTAGGATCCAGATGGGGCTCAACTCGAGATAGGTGTTCTGCTGGTCAGTTCTGTCCCTATCAGATGTTTTCCAAACCTTCAGGCTCAGGAGCTTTTAATCACTAATAGTCACCTATACACTATCAAGCCTGAACTATCAAGCTTCAGGGTCCCTGGTTCCTGAGATCTGTTTTAGTTACTAAATATTTTTATGGAGATGAACCTCATTGACAAAAGGGTTATTTTAATTCAGACTCCAAATTAATCTTGCATCTCATGACTATTCCTCAAATACATTAGCAACTACGAGGCAAACATCTAGGACAACCTAGTTCTATCTTTTTGGAGAACCTACAGGAATTCAGATGATTTGACTTCTTTATTTACAAAGCTGTCTCATTTACAGACCCATCTTTTCATTACTGAATTTCTAAGTCTGTGGTATATCCTTAATATTCAGCTTAAATGCTACTGATGTCTTATTTATTTTACATATGCATATATCCACATATTACTGTCTAATGAACACTAGAACAGATCTGATTATAGAAGTTGCACTCGAGGCAGTTTTTTTACACACTCCCAGCCACTAGGAAAGCAAAAATAGTTCAGTTCATGCCTATCAGTAAATAGCAGCTTGAAGGCAGTGCTGTGCAGAAGAAGCTGTGCTTACCATCAGCAGCCCTTTGTAAGCATAGACGATCCCAAGCCAAATGGTCATGTGGGTGTTCTCGCAGTGCTCCAAGATTGGCCGGATGGAGATATCTCTGCCCGCAGGGTCCGGCTGCGAAAACAAAAGGTGAAATATTTGGACTCAGATTTCCTTTGCTTCACGTCTCAGTGGTACTCAGCTCTATTTTCAGTAGATTGAGGATGTGTAGGATACAGAGTGGACAAATTCAGGGTAACTTGTGATGAGAGCAGACCCGTGAACCTGCAGAGAAATACAGTGAAACACAAGGATCTGAGGCAACAGCTGCTTGATAGCTACTACCTAGTGAGGTCACATCTACTGCAAACCTGAAAGAAAATATCTGAAATCACTCTGTCTTTAACAGTGTCAGTCATATTTATCAGATTTAGGACATCTACTTTTTCTACAAGGCACAGGCATGAAAAATAATGAATTTAAATTTCTCTTTGCTTCCACCTGCAGTTCTTGTGTCACTGGCAAATGGCTGATAAACAATGTATGAAACATTGCTGTGTTTCAGGTGGTTTTTCATTGATAGCCATGAGCTAAATCAAAGACCATTTAACTATACCAGTAGCTTAGGAGAGATCATAAATCATCAACAATTTAAAAATAAAAAAAAAAGTCTTTTAGAACCAGTGATTGTCTGTGCAAAATGAAATATTGCTGGAAGCTTTGAAGCTTTTAATTTATTTCGAAAAGGAGATTGTATAATATTGCAGAATCAAGAGGATTTGGAGATTATCAGAACTCTTTATATGAAGAAGAATCAGTAACAAAGACTCAGAGAAATCTGCAAGAACCACCCCTTGACCTACTCACTTTTTTTTTCCTAATGGACAGAGGAAAGAACAGTTGACACACAGAGAAAAGGGTTACTATGCTGCATAAAATTTTAATAGATATTAGGGTCTGGTCAAACTGCTAGAATGCTTGTTAATGATGTACATTGTAAAAGACCACAAGGATCTTGTATGTGATTCTAAGAGAACTCATTTTAGTTACATACTGCAGAACACTCCTGTTGGCTGCTCTGAGATGCATGTACCTACAGTCTGCTGTGTTTACAGCAAAATGCTGAAATACTGAAAGCTGTTTTTCCTTTCTACTTTGAAAGACTGGATTTGAACTTCAGCCAAACCAAGATCAACTCAGATGTAGCTTTCTGTACCTGATTGTCCCAGTGGGCTTTTCCATTTTCCTTTTGTTATGAATAACACATGTAAAATGTCTCATGAAGAAGTATGATTATTATATAAGGAAAAATAATGTTTTCACCAACTGGAAAGTAGAATTGTACATGGAAGGACTTTGGGGAGATCTCAATAATTTCCTAAAGATAATTTTTTGCTTCCCCTGATGATGTATGACTTCTGCTATGTATTTCAGTGGTCACAGCAATAATCTTCAGTTCACTTTCTTCCACTGCTGTTTTTGTATGTGAGGCATTTCCCCTGACCTCATACACTGTAAAAAAAAAAAAAAAAAAAGAGAAAACCCAAACAACCTTGTGTTATGATGCACTGCAACAGTGAAACTATTCACAATTTTCTTTGCAAAGCCTTCAGCAGGCAAGACATTAACATTTAAACCTTTTCCTACCCTGAATTTCTGTAGAAACCCTAAATGGAAAAATAAAGCTTTTGGAAAAAAAGGTGTCCTAAAATAAAATAAGATAAAAACCAAGGCAGCAATATTAACTCTCCCAAAGAGCTTATGACTCTATCCTAATGGTTGTTGATGGCAGGCAAAAAACCATTAGCTGAAGAACTGAAATGACTGCAAACATTAAGTGTCATCACAACATTTAAGAAGATACAAATGTTTGTCTGGGGATCAGTTGAACTACCTCATTCTCCCTGATCAATGACAAAAACCCAGTGCTAAAATTTAGGTGCACTGAAAGCACCTTTTCATGTCAAAGATGCAACCTAATATGTTTAACATCATTTTTTTCTATTATGTAATAAACTTCACAGGACAAATCATTCACACTGAGCTCTGAAGGTGTTACTGATGTGTCATCAGGACTTTACTACAGGGAAATTTTTTTAACCTGCCAAAAACTCCATCTCTCATGGTCTGGAATTACAGAAGGGACATAAAATTTAAGGTTTTGATCATCAGAGTACTTTCATTTTTTCTTTTCCTTCACACTGGTGAGTCAGCACAGGACTGTCTCTTTGCTTCCCCTGTTCCACATCCTTCCTGACAGGTATTTCTTCTATTTCAGTTCCCCACTTTTCTGAAGCAATAAAGTGTATAAATAATGAGGACTGGTACAATGGATGATGTCATGTCGTTTGTTTTCCTTGTTCCTGGATTGAAAACTCTAATCACACCTGAACTGAAGGATTCCTCCACTTTTAAGTAACTATAAGTAATTGGAATAATTCCCTCTTTTGAGGATTATTACTGAAATGGAACTCCTATTTGGTTTGTGACAGATTATATGTTTATATAATTTTATATAATTTATATATTCTCTAGTTAAAATTTACTTCAAAACTGGAAAGTGTATGTCCATTCATTAGTCAAAACTTCTCTTTAAAGATACAGGCACAAAAATGATGAAGTGGAAAACATAATTTCTTTTCAAATACTATTAGAGGGTAAGCATGGTTTCCTCAGGAGAAAGATTGTCAGATTTTTTGAGGCATGATAATTCAAAATTGATGCTAATTAAGTAAAACGATGATCAGATTTTCTTTGTGAGAGAGGAAAATCTTGCGAAGTGCTCTAGGTAGAACAGGGAAAGAAAGAACACTGATTGCAGCAAAGGTGTACATGTGGCAGAACTTCTTTCAAAAGACTTTCAAGACCTATGAGGTGATAGTATTTTAAACAAAAATTTGCTGAGGTCCTGTGCATGCAGGGTTAAATGTTGGTAGGTAGCAGTAATCTTAAAGTGAACGGATTTTGCTGATTACTTATCACTACTGCAAAATGACATTCCTGTTCTACTGCTTTTTATTTGCCGTTCTGTTTCTTCACAGATTTTGCATGAATTAACTAATCATAGCAAAAAGCTGGGTTAAAAAAACATATGATATTTTCTGATGTCAAAAGAATTTTTGAAAACTCTACAATTACAGCTGAATGGGGCACTTGACTGACCTCTCTAATCATCCACCATTTGTGCACTTTGTTATTGCTTTAGAGAGGATGACAACATAAATGCTACCAGTGATTATATATGTACTGGAAATTTGCCCTTTCCTTTTATAGAAAACAATCTCAATGCCCTTCAGATGTCATTCTCAAAAGCCTGAAGACCTCCTATCTTGTGATTAGGCTGAAGCTTTCCTACCTCTTCTGAAATCTAATAAGGTTTCTGACATTGACATCAATTTCTGGAGTGCTTTCAGCAGTTGAACATAAATAGTTTAATCTGTTCACTTCATACAAGAGTTGTGTATCATCACCAGTAAAATGCTTGTTTTTCAGGAGATCTGGTAGGTCTAGAAAGCAACCCAAACCAGTAAACAGATTACCCACAGAATGCTGATACCCCCTGGGTGTGTGTGTGTTTGTGTTTAAACTATTATTAGTCCAGTCTGTAGTTCCAATGCTTTTTCATTTTCTTTGTTCTTCAGTCTTCTGGGAGGGCTGGCAGATCCTTGTCATAAGAGGTGAGTGATGGCCTAGGTGGGAGCCAGCAGAGTGAGAAGTAAAGCTTAAAACTATCAGGAACCATCAGAGAAATCTGATTTTTATTTTTTTAAATCTGTAAGTACAATTTTTAATGGTTATTATATTAGCCAAAAACCCTCTGGAAAAGGCAGATATTTGTATGATGATTAATGTACCTTTGACTTATTTTTTGTCTTTATTGTTATTCCTTTTCTGTAGCTTCACAAAGATTTTAAAAGGAGGAAGGGTCTATGTTCCCTGAGGCATTTGATCCAGTAAACGTCTGTGAAGAGCAGACTGGGCTAGCACATAGTATCAAAAATCCTTGACCTTCCTGAGGCAGTTTTTCTACACGGTCTCCTCATCAGGTCCCTTGGCCAGTAGAGCAGATTATTCTATTTGCAGAGCTGTGGTGCAGCTGTGAGAGAGCTCAGGGGCTCAATCTCAGCAGGCTCACTGAGGACATTGCAGCAGACCCCCAGTGTGACTCTGTGCCACTTCTGAAGCTGCACTTCCACCAGTGAGAAACTCACATTTGGCCTCGGTCTTTTCCAAAGATGGGTACAGAACATAAGGAAAATGTTTGAAAGAAACTGTTTCCCACAGTATAGGAAAATGCAGGATCATACTCTTCTGTCACACTGTTAAAATGGCCTTCATATATCATCCCACTCTGTTTTATCTTCTCTTTAAATGGCTTCAATTGAACTGGAATAATGATTGTGTACTACAGCTAGTTTGCAGTGTGAATTAGATATCTCTGGCATCTTTAATTCAGCACATTTAGCAGTCATATGGAGCTCACATGTGATTCCTTGTCTTAAAACTCAGACTTGGCTAAATTAGAAGATCGTTCTTGCTTCTTAAATTCACTTTTTTTTCCTTCCAAGGATAATTATAGTTGGTTTATACTCCGAATTCTGGAAAGGTGTTTCATAAAAGGATTCAAACAGTTTGAGCACACAGTGTGAAATTGAGAGCCAGGCTCTTAATTACTGATGAAAAGAGAAGGATCAGACACTGTCAACTTCTTGATTACTTAATAATTTGTAGGTATTTTTAGAGCAAAACTGCTGATATGAACAGTGATATGAAGAAGAGATTTTCCAGGAAATGGTTCCCTTTTGTTTCATGTATTTTTAACTTTGTGCAGTCATACTTTCCATTAATACAAAATAGAAATGGCAATACTAAGCTAGGGTAGCTCATTTGGAACTGCTTCCAATAAAAAATTTGGTAGACAACCTAGAATAATAGGAAACCTTGTTTGTCTTTGTTGATACCTGAGCTGAGGTTTGGGTACATTACAGTTCCCGTTTTATGTCACAGAGTATCTCAGCAAAGCACAAAACTATTACCGAATTCTTGCAGTTCAGTGACCAATTTAATTTCCCTTCAATGTTAATTGAGAAGTTTGGACATTTCTGTAACATTCTAATGATTGAGAGATGAGGTAT